CCCTGCAGCCAGAGACCCTGGAACCCAGTTCCAAGCACCAGTGGGAGGCACCAGCCCTAGAATTCCTGGCCCTGCCCAACATAAAGCCTTCTCTAGCCTATGGACCAGCCTCACCCACCAGCAGGCAGAGAGCAGCCATAGTACAACTGCATCCCCCCGCTAGCCTATGGACACAGCCCAGCTACCAGCAGGCTAACATCGGCCCTGGGACTGGCTGGGTCCTGGTCCCGCCTACTAACAGGCTAACACAAGCTTTGGGACAACCCAGACTCTATAACCAGCTGTGTCAGGAACCAGCCCCACTCACCAGTAGTCTGACATCATCTCTGGGACCCCTGGGACTTAAAGCCAGACCCCAGGACCTGTCTCTGTCTCCCAATGGGCCACCACTAGCCCCAGGAACTGGCATCACCCATTAGTGGGCAGACACCAGCCCCAAGGTTTCCTGGATCCCAACTCTGTCCACTGATGAACCGGCACTACCCTGAGGGCCCCCCACCAGGGTTCTATAGCCAGCTGTCCTGTGACTCAGCCCTGCCAACCCATGGCCAGTAACCTCCACACAAGGCAGGGCCTGGCAAACAAACTGGACCAGGGGCCAACCAAGCCTACCAGACCAGACCATCCATAGCAGTCAGCCCACCACAACAGAAGGACACATGCAGCCCACATGGGGACACCCCTAGAGCATACAACACTGGTGACAAGATGGGAGTGCAATGCTGGGACTCACAGGGCACCTTATACAAAAGGCTACTTCTCCAAGGTTGGGAAATGTAACCAACCTACCAGATACATAGAAATAAAAACAGCAAATTAGGAAAAAATGAGGTGACAGGGGAACACGTTCCAAATGAAGGATGAAGATAAAACCCTAAAAGAATTAAGAGAGGTGGAAATAGGTAATCTATCAAGAAAGACTTAAGGGTAATGATCTTAAAGATGATCAAAAAGCCTGGGAGAAAAATGGATGCACAGAGCAAAAAGTAATAAGTTTTTAACAAAGAGTTAGATGATATAACAAGCAACCACACAGAGATGAAGACTATAAAAACTGAAATGAAAAATACACTGGAAGGAATCAGTAGTAGACTAAATGATACAGAAGAACGGATCAGTAAGCTAGAAGACAGAGCAGTAGAAACCACTGATGCCGAACAGAAAAAAAGAAAAAAAGATGAAAAGAAATGAGGAAAGAATAAGAGACTCATGGGACAACATCAAAAGCATTAACATTTGTATTACAGGGATCTGAGAAGCACCATCTCAAAGCAGCAGAATATACATTCTTTTCAAATGCACATGTAACATTCTCCAGGAGAGATTACATGCTAGGCCACAAAACAAAACTTGGTAAATTTTAAAAAGTTGAAATCAGATCACGCGTCTTTTCTGACCACAACACTACAAGAAAAACAACTGCAAGAAACACAAACATGTGGAAACTAAACAATATGCTACTAAACAACAAATGGATCACTGAAGAAATCAAAGAGAAAATTTTAAAATACCTAGAGACAAATGAAAATGAAAACACAATGATCCAAAATCTATGACACAGCAAAAGCAGTTCAAGGAGAAAGTTTATAGCAATATAAGCTTACCTCAGGAAACAAGAAAAATCTCAAATAAACAATCTAACCTTACACCTAAAAGAAATAGAAAGAGAAGAACAAACAAAACCCAAAGTAGTAGAAGGAAAGAAATCATAAAGATCAGAGCAGAAATAAATGAAATAGAGCCTAAAAAAATAAAAGAAAAGATCAATGAAACTAAAAGGTGGTTCTTTGAAAAGGTAAATAAAATTAATAAACCTTTAGCCAGACTCATCAAGAAAAAAATTAAGAGGGCTCAAATCTATAAAATCAGAGATGAAAAAAGGAAACATTACAATCAACATCACAGAAATACAAAGGATCATAAGAGACTACCATAAACACCTACATGTCAATAAATTGGACAACCAAGAAGAAAGGGACAATTCCTAGGAACGTATACTCTCCAAAGACTGAACTGAAAAGAAATAGAAAATATGAACAGACCAATTACCAGTAATGAAAGTGAATCAGTAATTTAAAAAATTCCCACCAAACAAAAGTCCAGGACCAGACGGCATCACAGGTGAATTCTACCAAACACTCAGACAAGAGTTAACACCTATCCTTTCGAAACTATTCCAAAAAAATTGCAGAGGAAGGTACATTTCCAAACTCATTTTGCGAGGTCAGCATCACCCTGATACTACAACCAAAGATAACAGGAAAAAAAAACAAAAAGAAAAGAAAATTACAGGCCAATATCACTGATGAACAAAGATGCAAAAATCCTCAACAGAATACTACTGAACTGAATCCAACAACACATTAAAAGAATTATATCATACACCATGATCAAGTGGGATTTATCCCAGGGATGCAAGGATTTTTCAATACATGTAGACCAGTGAGTGTGATACATCAGATTAACTGAAGAATAAAACCATACAAAATAAAAACTGTATGATCATCTCAATAAATGCAGAAAAAGCTTTTAACAAAATACACACACACACACACACACACACACACACAAGAGAATGCTACTCAGCCATAAAAAAGAATGAAATTTTGCCATTTGCAACAATGTGGATGGGCTTAGAGTGCATTATGCTAAGCGAAATAAATCAGACAAAGACAAATACTGTATATCACTTATATGTGGAATCTAAATATAAAATAAACTAGTGAATATAACAGAAAAGAAGCAGACTCACAGATACAGAAAACAAACTAGTGGTTACCAGTGGGGAGAGAAAAGGGGTTTGGGGGCAAGATAGAGGTAGGGGATTAAGAGGTACAAACTATTATGTACAAAATAAATAAGCTACAAGGATATATTGTACAGCAAAGCAAATATAGCCAATATTTTATAATAAATGTAAATGGGAATATAATCTATAATTGTGAATCACTATGTTGTACACCTGAGACTAACATAATATGGTAAAACAACCATACCTCAATAAAAAAAATAAAGCATTATATTTTACTCTCTTACATAACATAGTTAGCTGGGTTTAGAATTCTAAATTAACAGTAGGTTTCCTTAAGCATGTTAACCATACTTCTACTGACATTTCACCTGGTATTTATTGTTGCTCATGAGAAATCTGTTACAAGTCTTTTTGTTTCTCTGTAGGCAAAGTAATAAAGAGGTTAGGAAGGTTCTCTGTGGAACCACACTGGCTAGTTTCAAATCCAGTTCCACCAACAACCTGTATTAATTGTGTCTTTTATTTTACTATGCTTTGACATCTTAGTGCCTTGAGGACCCAGGAGATGACTGCCCCTTCAGAGGTTAGCTGATATCTAGAAATTGCAAACAACCCACCTGTGAGTACACCATTCATGTGCAAACCAACCAATCCTTAGTCCCTACTCCCAAACCTCCTTTATCCATCATACACCAAGTCAGTATTTCCCCTGCCCTGTATCAATCCAGGGCCAGGTATCAGAAAACTAAGGACTTTCCCTATAGCCCAAAGGCTGCCAAAATTATTCAATCCATCCAATCCTAAACTTGTTCAGCTTGACTACCCCGTCTTATCCATTCTTTCCCCCGAAAATCATAACAGGCTCTGGCCCATGGTTTCCCTTCACTCCATCTGAGCAATCTCAATGCCTCCCTAAGTGCACAGCATGGCACGCCCCCTCCTCTTGAAAACAATACTATAGTAAACTCTTCTTTCAAGACAGTTGTCTCTGTGTTTGTCATCTTACCACACGTGATTAAAACAAAGTCCTCAGTATGTTTTAAAACACAACTAGACATATGCTTATGAGCTAATTTACCTCTCTGTGCCTCACTTTCCTCACCTACAAAATGGCAATAATAGGACTACTTTAAGGAGTTATATAAATATGACATAATACATGTAAAGTACATAGAACAGTGCCTATTCCAAGTTCAGTGCTCAACAAATGTTACTTATTATCATGATTACTGTACTTCATCTGGCAGTTTGAAGATATTTGTTTTAGATGTTCTTAAGCTTCCGTATGTTATGTCTAGGTACTGGTTTGCTTTTATACGTATTGCTCAGGATTTGGAGTGCTCCATTCTATTTTTTCCTTCTGGTACTCTTATTGGGTATACGTTAAACTTTCTGATTCTACTTCCAAAGCTCAACTTCTTCCATATTTTCTAATTTTTTCTGTCTCTGGACATTTTTATGGATTGTTTCCCCAAATCTGTCTTACAATTCACCAATCTTTTATTTAGCTGTATTTAGCCTGCCATTCAATCTATCTACTGAGTATTTCAATAACTTTCCTTTATTTCTAAAACTTCTATTTGGCTCACTTCACACTTGCCTGCTCTTTTTACATTCTACTCTGCTTTTCGTCTTAAATTATGACAGATTGTGAAAAATGGTCCCAAGTTATTCCTTTTCCCGTATCTATGTTCTTTGGTAGGGCCTTCTCATACTGACCATGGACTGGCCTTACAACTGACTTCAAATGAGACTTGAGAAGCAATGCATACTGGGGTTTCTGTCTGTTCTGCCTTGGGAAACTTGTGACCACCAGCATGTAAAGACGCCCAGGTTATTCTGCTGGAGGAAAAGAGAAATGCTGCTCAATATCCCCCCATTAGCCCAAACACCAGTACCAACTGACAGCCAGCACAAACTGCCAGGCTTACGAGGTCATCCCAGACTAACTAGTCCCTAGCTGACCCTACAAACCCCATATTCAACCCTTAAACTTGTAAGCAATAATAAAATGGCTATTTTAGTGACTAGGTTTTGGGATAGTTCATAGTGCAGCAAAAAGCTAACTGATACATGTGGTTTCTAAACCTTCCTTTACACTTTGAACATACTTATTTTAAAGTTTCTGTTAGAACCACCATTTCTAATAACTGGCTATCCTTCTTGGTGGTCTATTTATTTATATGCTTCATAATTTTTGATTGAGAGCTCATCTTGAGTGGCAGTATTTCCTGTGAGTCCCTCTTACCTCTTGCTATGAGCAGGTGGCATCTGGAATTAAAGCAGCCATCTCAACCATAAGGCAGCATGCTAAGGATGGCAGAACAGCAAGACAGGAGTCCAAGTCCGTGATAATCATGGAGCTGCTGCCATACCAGCCTCAGCCTGCCTTCCTATAGAATTAGATGCATATTTAAGTCATTATTATATTTTCTATGTAATGCAGCCAAATCTAATCCTAATACATCAGTTTTAAATATCTATATGCCAGTGATCCTGAAGTTGTAACTCCAGTCACCATCTTTCCAGATGTCTATCCAACAGCTACTGGAACATTTCCACTTGAATGTCCAACAGGTCTTTCAAACTTAACTGTCCAAAACAGAATTCTTCATTTTTTTCTTCCCAAACTCTTCCTTCTCCTACTCTCATCACCACCAAGCAAATGGTAAGCGGTTTTTGATGATATATGGCAAATAATCTACCTCACAGGTCAAGAAAAAACTTGATATTGCCTTTCATTCCTTGCTTTCCCTTCACATTATCTAAACCAAGCACAGTAACTGCTGTCTGCCATCAAAACATATCCCAAATCCAGCCACTTTTCTCCATCTTCACTGTTAGCACTCAAGTGCATGTCACCACCATCTCTCATTTGGAGTAATACAACAGGATCCTCAATGGTGCTTTCTGTAACTTAAGAAATCCTTTTCAGAGAGATGAAAAAGTTCTGGAGAAAGACAGTAGTAATTGCTGCACAATAACATGAACTGAATTGCACACATTAAAGTGTTTAGAATGGCAAATTTTATGTTATGTGTATTTAACAGCAATAAAACAGACAAAAAACAGAAATCTTCCTTCAAGACAACATAGCCTGCTTTTTTTTTTCCTAAATATTTTTCACATATATCTTTAATCCATTTGGAAATTACTGTTGGAAATGGTGTGGAAAGGAATCTAATTTTGTCTTTAACCTATTTGGATATCACATATCTCAGCATCATTTATTGAACAGCCTGTACTTTCCCCCATGCTTTGTAATACCACTTAGTGGTAAACCAAGCTCCCACATGTATGTAGGTGTGTTTCTAAGCTCTCTATTCTGCTCCATGAGTCTACTTTTCTGTCCTTAAACCAATACCAGTAATTGAGACAGTAATCTCAATTATTATGGCTTTATATTGTTTTGATATCTGGGAGAACAGATTTTTTCTTCAAAATTGACTTAGCAATTCTAGGTGCTTTGCCTTTCCATATACATTTTACAGTCAGCATGTCAACTTCCATGAAAAACCATATAGCAATTTTATTCGGAACTGCAATGAATCTGGAAAACTGGGAAAAACTGACATCTTTATGATAGTGAGTTTTCCTATCCATGAATATGGTATACCTCTGCATTTACTTGGGTCTTCTTTTATGCATTTCAATAGAACATTATAAGTTTCTCACTAAAGGACTATGCAGCTTTAATTTGATCTATTTCTAGATACCTTTAGTATTAAATACTGTTATGAGTAGTATTTTTTAAATTAAAATTCCTACTTAGTACTAGTGTATAAAAGATTTTACTTCAGAAATCTGCTTGAATTGAAGGCCATTTCTGACACCCTCTAAACCAAAGCAGCCTTTCCAGTCACTCTTTATCAGATCACATCTGATACCTTCTCATTAACTGAGGTCAGTGTCTCTCTCCCCCACTGTAACTAGTTTACCATTGTATTTGCAGTGTCTAGAACAGGGTCTGGCACATACTGCACAAAATGTTTGTTGAATAAATAAATTGAAGTTTTAAATCTGGACGACTTAGAAAAACACAAGAAGAAAAGTAGATTTGGAAGTTAAAATGAAGTGAGAACTAGTTCAGTTTGAGAGGTGGAGAGTTACCACAGGTCATTAATGTGCAGGTATCAGGCCAGCACCTGGAGCACCTGGAGATCCAATGTGATGGAACTGATGGGACAGTCCAGGAGATAAATGCATTCAAGAAGAAAAAAACTGAAAAGATACTTGGGAAGAGCTATATTTGGGAGATGAGAGAGAGAGCGCGCGCGAGAGCGAGAGAGAGACAGCATGCGCAGCACTATGGAAACCAACCATAAGAGAAAGAGTTGAGGGAAAGAGGGAAATAAATGGAAAAGCTAGGTTCGTCAATCACATGAATACACCATTGGAGAAGTACAATTTTATCTTAAGAACAGAAAGCATGAACCTCATTTCTCCACTGGTGTGAAAACAATTGGAGAGAGAGCTCTATTAGACTATAGATCCTAATTTGGGGAAGGAACTAATTTTAGACCTCTCTGGGGTCTTTCACTTTAAAATGACAGTTACCCGTCTTAGACACCTATCAGCCTTCAATCTGTTCAACCTCTCGGTCAGAGCTAGAAGCTGTGGTCTGGAAGGTTCCGATTTGAATGAGGTGACTGTTTCCTCCTCATTTTCATCATCTTTCCCTGACCAAAGCGCCCGGGCTGATGGTACCGGCAGGTGCTCTTTGAGCTTCGGAGAGGAACCAGAGAAAAGCGGCGACCAGGAAACAAAAGTCGAGTTGCAGAGTCTGGGAGAGAGGCCCTCACCTCACGCCGAGCGGCGGGTCAGCGGGTCAGCCAGGGTCCGTGCGTCCTCACGGGGACGCACCGGCCGCGCCCCGTCAGCTCCCTCCCCACTCCCCGCAGTGCCTGGCTTCGCCGAGGCCCTCGCCCGCCCCTACGAACCAGGCCTTCCCTTCCTACCTGCCGGCACGCTGACTCGGCCTG